TAAATGTTTAAAAGCTTTCCTCTTCTTTTCCTTTTTGCTACTCTTAAATAGATGTACAGTTGATTTTTGTGTATTCTTGTGTTCTGCAACTTTGTTAAATTTATTTAGTGCTAGTATCTTTTTTTTTTTTTAATAAACAAGACGTTTCAGTGGGAGAAATCATGCTGCTTGCGAAGGAAGGTGTTTCGCCTTTTTCTTTCCTTCTGGCATGCTCTTTGTCTCTTCTGCTTGTCCTATTGCGCTGTCCCTGGCTTGTTTATGATCTCAGGAAGAACTGCTAGTCTTTTTCTGTTAAGCAGGTGGTGAGCCTGCTTTTTATGCTCAGATTTTTGTGTACATGTTTCTGTTACTAGTCTTCTGAGTTGCAGTTGCACATGGAAATTTTTCAAATTCTTTTTCTGCATCTATATGTGACTTTCCATCTTCTTGCTGTTAATGTGGTGAATTATATTGATTGTCAAATGTTAAAATAACCTTGTGTTATTGAGATAAACCCTTCCCTCCCTCCCTTTTTTCCCCTCCCCCCTTCCTCCCCTCCTTCCTTCTTTCCTGCCCCTACCCTCCTTTCTTTGTGCATATGCAGGAGCACACATGTGTTGGGACCAGAGATCAGAGGGTGGTGTTCCTCAGGGGGTTTCACCTTCACTTTTGAGATAGAATCTCTCCTTGGGACCTGGGTTTGTGGATTAGTCTAGACTTGCTGGCCAACAAAATCTAGGGATCTGCCTGTCTCTGCCTCCCCAGTGCTGGGCTTAGAAGCATGTGCCACCATACTTGACTTTTTATGTGTGTACCGGGGACTGAACTCGGGTCTTCATGCTTGTGTGGCAAGCACTTCGCCCGCTGAGCTATCTTCCCAGGCTGCTATGATAGTCCCTTGGTGTCTATGTATCTTGGTCTATCTTGGACTGCATGTGCATTCCTCTTTTTTGCTCGACCCTCCCAGTCTTATTTCTGACATTCAACTTAACTAATGACAAAGGCAGAAGGTTCCAGGTTAAATCTTGTACCTCTTTGAACCTGGTGTTGGGTGCTTTGCTTTTCCTGGGACTTTCTTTTCTTGGTTACTTACCTCTTTCTTGGTTTCCTTCCTTTATTGCTTCAGAGGAGTGACTGGGCAGCATTCTGTTTTGTTTTTAAGACTGGCAGCAGCTGGGAAGCTGGGAGGTCTGTATTTTGATTCGTGTTTCCAGGAAACTCGGTTCTAGTCATGTCGTGTTGTGTGTCCCCCCCCCCCCACCTCAAAGTATCTGTGCCTTTAATTAGGAAAAGGGAAACTACCTTCCAGATGTCATAAGACAGAGAAGTTAAGCATTCTTCTCTGGTAGGAACAAAGATTTCTGTCTACAAAGTGACTTTGACAATGACCCTACTGGGGACTTTGAGAGCTCAGAAGATAGAGCTGTGCTACCCAGAGAACTTTGAGAAAATGTGAGAGTTGGGAGTCTAGCATAATGCAGACACTGCATTGAAGAGGCAACCAGGCTAAGAAGGAGGCTTTGGTGGAGGTGGTTTCTTTGGGCTTCCCAAGGGCCAAATCTATCCTCAATAGTCACAAAGTATAGAACTCAACACACACACACACACACACACACACACACACACACACACACATATATTTTTGGTCTTTTTGAGACAGGGTCTCCCTGTAGCTCCAGCTGGCCTGGAACTCGCTTTGTAGACCAGGCTGGCCTTGAACTCACAGATATCCACCTGCCTGTGCCTCCCAAGTGCTGGGATTAAAGGCCTGTGCCACCACGCCCAACAGAACTCAACATATTTTTAACTTATTATTAATATGCCTGCCCATAAAAATTTAAAAATACAGAGTAATTTAAGCCTGTAAATGGCATGTTGAACTCTGCCTTAGACCTTGGTTCTTAGGGTTCCTCTGGGAACACTGCTCAGCCAGGCCATCAGGAGTAGCAGCAAATGGAAGAGAGAATGAATGCTCTGCTTTTCCAGTGTCCAAGACTGGGTAGAAACGGAGCTTAGGAACCCTTCATCCTACACAAAGGTCCTTCTGTCTGGTCTACCTTGGCTGAGCTGTGTTGGGTGAGTTCAGAACTCCATGGTACATCCATACAGGGTCTTGACAACCTAGTATATAGGGACTGGAGTTGCAGTCAGTCAGTCTGTGGTCTGCCAGGGGTTGGAGAGATGCCTCAGTGGTTAAGAGCACTGTCTACTCTTCCAGAGAACCTGAATTTGGTTTGAGTAACCACTTGGTGGCTAACAACCATCTAGGGGGTCTGATGCCCTCTTCTGGCCTCTGTAGACACTGCACACATGTGGTGGACTTACAAACAAACATGGAGGCGTAACACTCATACACATAAAATATAAATAAGAAATAAAAAACCAAGAAATCAGGGAGTCAGGTTCACTAGTGAACACTTCTGTACTGTTTATAACCATGCTATTAACAAGTCCCTAATTTGTTGGTTTGGGGAACTAAGAAAACCTTGACTTTAAAATGGAGTGACTAGTTTGGGGGACGCACAGTAGAACAAACTATGAATAAATTGCTAATTTAAAAAATTAAATTTAAGTTGGACGTGGTGGCTCACGTTTGTAGTCCCAGCACTCAGGAGGCAGAGGCAGGAAGATCTCTGAGTTCAAGGCCAGCCTGGTCTATATAGTAGTTCCAGGCCAGCTGGAGCTACAGGGAGACCCTATTTCAAAAAGACAAAAAAAAAATTATCCTTTTCTCGAAACAGGGCCAGGGACCATGTGGAGCTAGGGACTCAGTGGAGCATGCTTCCACGTGGGCCAACTGCTCTTTTCTCCTGCTCAGTCATTTGCTTCCTTGCTCTTGCCTTGTAGCTCAGGTCTACCTGCCTTTTGCAGAAATCCCAGTCCCTCAAAAGGGCTAACTGCAAGTAGGAGGAGCTATTGGGTCAGGCTTGGTGGCAAGTTTAAGGACAAATTGAAAGTGGTGTATCCCCCAATTAAAATGGGCTTCTAGGGCTGGAGAGATGGCTCAGCGGTTAAGAACACTGGCTTTTCTTGCAAAAGACCAGGGTTCAGTCTGGAGAGATGGCTCAGCGGTTAAGAACACTGTTCTTGCAGAAGACCCAGGTTTGAATCCCAGCACCCATATGGTAGCTAACAACTGTAACTCCAGTTCCAGGGTATCTGACAGCCTCTTCTGTCCTCCGCGGGCATTGCTCAACATAGGTGCACTTACTTACATTCAGGCATAACACTCATACACACAAAATAAAAATAATAAACAAACAAATAAATAAATAAATATAAAAGAATACATATTAAAAAAAAAAAGACCAGGGTTCAAATTCCAGCACCCACATGGCAGATAACAACTGTCCATAACTCCATTTTTAGGGGATCAGACGATCTCTTCGGTCCTCCACAGGCATTGCACGACATGAGTGCACATACATGCATGCAGGCAATACACACATACACATAAAATAAAAATAATAAATAAAAAAATATTTTTTAAAAAATGGGCCGGAGTCAGGCACGGTGGTGCACGCCTTTAATCCCAGCAGAGGCAGGCAAATCTCTGTGAGTTCAAGGCTGGCCTGGTCTACATAGTGAGTTCCAGGACAGCTGGGGCTCCAGGGAAACCCTGTCTCAAAAAGACCAAAAAGAAAAAAAATGGGCCTGTAGCATGAGCTAGTTTACACCCAGCAATGTCAATGGTGTACACAGCAGGGGGCTAGAGTGGGAACCTGGTACCTTCTCTCCTCTCTCCTGGTCTGATTTAGATGTGAGTGGGGAGACTCAGAGAGGGACCCATCGTCTCCCTTACCCCCACTCCTCTCTCTTTGGTCTTTTTGAGACAGGGTCTCCCTGAAGCCCCAGCTGGCCTGGAGCTCATTATGTAGACTAGGCTGGTCTTGAGCTCACAGAGATCTACCTTCCTCTGCCTCCAGGTGCTGGGATTAAAGGCGGTGCGCCACCATGCCCGGCCACCCATGTGTCTCTTATTCCTGTCGCCTCCTTCCTGTTTTGTGGGCTTTCAGTTCCATCATTTTTTTTTTTCTTTTGGTCTTTTTGAGACAGGGTCTCCCTGTAGTCCCAGCTGTCCTGGAACTCACTATGTAGACCAGGCCGGCCTTGAACTCACAGAGATCCGCCTGCCTCTGCCTCCCGAGTGCTGGGTTTCAAGGCGTGCCCCACCATGCCTGGCTCAGTTCCATCATTTTTTTGAATGGAATTTAAAAATTTTATTTATTTTATTTTTATGTGTATGAGTGTATTGCTTGTATGTAGGTAGGTGCACCTGTGTCATGCAGTGCTTGCAGAGGTCACAAGATGGTGTCAGATCTCTTGGAACTGGAGTTATGGATGGTTGTTAGCCACCATGTGGATGCTGGGAATTAAACCTGGGTCCTTGGCAACCAGTGCTCTTAACCACTGAGCTGAGCCATCTCTTCAGCCCTTAGTTTTATCTTTTTTTTTTTTTTTGGTTTTTTTGAGACAGGGTCTCCCTGTAGTCCCAGCTGTCCTGAAACTCACTATGTAGACCAGGCTGGCCTTGAACTCAGAGATCCGCCTGCCTCTGCCTCCCGAGTGCTGGGATTGAAGGCATGTGCCACCATGCCCGGCCTTAGTTTTATCATTTTTAAAAAAAAATTTATATATTGTTTTTATTTTATGTGTATGAGTGTATTGCTTGCATGTATGTGAGTGCACCTGTGTCCTGCAGTGCCGTGGAGGTCAGAAGAGGGCTTTGGATTCCCCTGGAACTGGAGTTAAGGACCGTTCATGGCTGCCATGTGGGTACTGGGAATCGAACCCAGGTCCTCTGCAAGAGCAGTCAGTGCCCTTAACCACTGAGCCATCTCTCCAGCCCCAGTTTCATCATTTTAAGAATTCCCAGCTGTGTCCATTTTCTCTTCATTCTTTTTGGTCAAATGTCTTGGTAAAGAGATTTAGTGAAATCCCATGGCTGGCTTCCTGCCCCTTCCACCCCATCCATGCTTTACACTGTCCCTGGTCTGATGCCATGTTGTTTATTCCCACAGAGCACAGATATTCTCAGCACTGTTGGCTATGACAGCATCATCCAGCATCTGAACAATGGGCGCAAGAACTGCAAAGAGTTTGAAGAGTTTTTAAAAGAGAGGTAAGATGCTCAGGCCTCTTGAACCAGGATGCTCCCACCCAGACCAGGAACCATTTGCTGTTTTTTTCTCTCTTAAAAAATATTTATTATGACTACTATCCTCAGGCCTCTTGGGGTAAGTCTATAGCGCAGCTCTCCGCGCCGGGACTCCCTAACCCACATTCACCCTTCCATCCCTCCCGCCGTTCTATATTCCTAGTTTGGGCCCTGCACCATTCCTAGTCTTGGGGCCCCAGACACCTGGGGAACCAATACTGCTTCCTGATCCTTCTCACCCAGAGAAACTCAGTCCCTTTCTTGGGCTCCAGGAGCACCGCTTCTGGTCCTGGCCCTGCCCTCATCTCCCTCTACTT